ATCTATCTATCTATCTATCTATCTATCTATCTATCTATCTATCTATCTATTTATCATCTATCTATCAACCTATACCTATCTATCATCTATTTATCTATCTATTGAATCATTACCTATAGTACCTTTCTACTTATATATAAATGACTATATATATATAAATGTTTCCTGAGGCTTTAAGATACGTTTTTTTGGTAAACATTTAATACCATAGTTATTGGCTGATAAGAGTTTTAAATTTTTTCTTATTATGGTTAAAATTAAGAATTTATGTTCACGTACAAGATTTTTATATTAAAATAAAATGCCTCATTTTAAATCAGTGTATGAGCACACAAGGAGAATATTCCTCATAATTTTTATTAGAATATGATACACATAAGTTATGAAGTGTGTGACTCTGTTGCTAAAGTCTTCATGCTGGTATTTCTCACAGATGCATTATTGCCATGGGCCTTGACAGAAAACCATCTCCAACAAAACCTAGGAAGGAAAAGAATGCTGAGAAGAAGGAGGAGCCGCTGAAGAGGAGTCAGGGGAAACTGAAGAAGGACAGAGAGAATGCACCATCGAGAAGGAACGAGATGGAAGGAAAAGAAACCTCAGTCTCAGCCACTTTTTCAGCTGAGGAGCTAAAATCAGGGGTTGGAGAAGTGAGGACAGCTATGGAGGAGATGGAATGGAAGGGCAAGTCAGGACAAGACGTGTGGGAAGAGGACCAGGAAGACACCTTTACATACGGTAACTAAGACCAGACTTCTCTTGTTGTTGTTGTTGCCCTAAGCCTTTGAGGATCATTTAGGATGTTCAGATTGGTCTGCAGACTGTTGCTGAGCTGTAATCTGTAGGCAGCTGGGCCATACTTCTTTTACTGTTTGCTGTGAAGTTCCAAATTCTTTTTCTGGCCTCAGAAGTGTCGAGGTGTTTTCTGTGGGCAGGAGGACATAAGGAAGCTTCTATCCTGCTATCCGGAGTCAGAATCCACTCCTGTAGAGACCATTTGTCCAAACGGAACTTTGTCAATTTCTTTAGTTTTTGAATATGATTATAGGAGCAGCATTGACTACCAGCTTCAGCATTGGTGAGTGCAATCCATGGGAGCATTGGCTGCTAGGATGTTACACACAGACAGCATTGGTAGGCACAGTCCATGCTAGGACGTTACACACGAATAGCATTGGTAAGTACAATCCATGGGAGCATTGGCTGCTAGGACGTTACACACAGACAGCACTGGTGAGTGCAATCCATGGGAGCATTGGCTGCTAGGACGTCACACACAAACAGCAGCTTGTATGCAGCTCCAAGTCCTAGAACCTGTCTCGTGTTTCTCTTTCCCTGTCTCCACTTCCCTTTGCCTCTTTCTCTCCCCCTTTCCCTGTCTCTTCTCCCTCTTGCCTTGTCTTTCCCCTCCCCTTACTCTTCTGTCTCATTCTCCCCCCTCCACAAATATGTAACCCATGCAAACACAGTCAGATGCACACACTCACACATCTGCACAGCGGAGGGAAGAGTAACATTGCCAGGCTCTGTGCAGTGGGTGGTGTGCCAGGCCCTCTCCCCGCTCACTCTCGCTTTCTATGTGAGCCTTGTTCCTAGCTCCATTTTACAGCATGGAAGATGGGTCTCACTCATGCACAGCCATAGCAGAACTCATACCCATGCCTATGTGTATCTGTTCTCAAACTACTAAATCATTCTCTCTGGACCAGCGCTCTCAGGTATTGCATGGCTGCATGTGATATTCCTAAGGAATCAGGAAGCATGCACAGAGTGTTCCTCACACAGAGAACACAAGGGCTGTCTTAGAGGAGCAGTAGGCACAGGTCAGGGTTCCCTGTGGAAGGTCTGGCTTCTTAGTATCTTCTTTCTTATGTTACTACATAAGGGTTTCAGAAATCCTGGGGGGGGGGAATCCCGAGTGCTGGACGTCATAGGTTGGTGACAGAGATAAGGGGGCTATTTTACTATTTTAGCTGGGATTTCACTCGTAACACCAGCACCCTGCTCACTTCTCTCTGCACTGTCCCCCATTTCTTACTCTTCCCTCGTCTGGGGATTTTAAGGTTCAGGGGTGGCTGCAGAGAGCTGCTTCCCAGTGTTTCCTCTTGGAAGACAGCAGACTTGAAGAGGCCGGGCTGAGGCCCCTTTCCCTTGTTTCCCTCTTTTACAAACATGGCTGTGTAAAGACCATGCCCTTTGCACTGGGGTCTGTCATCTGTGATGATGAGTTAATGAATTTTAACTGCCATTTCCATGAGGACCCAGAGGTCCTGTCTGTGGCTGATCATGGAACTGCAGCCGGGCTAGGGGAGATGCTAACAGAATCTCTAACTGCCACATTTGAATTCTGGGTGCCCCTCCTTGTCAGTGGGGATTCAAGATAGTACTCTGAATGCTCTCGATGAACTCGGGAGGACAGTAGACGCTGGTAGCGGAACGATGCTGAAGCCCACCCCACCGGCTCATTCCTCCGCTTTAAGCCAGGAGAGGATGACGTAAAGGTAGCTTGCCCTGGGCTCTTGTGAAAACGGAAGGCTGGTCACCGAGGGAGGACTGAGCTTTCCTAGGGGTGACGGAATGGGTATCACACAACTAGAGGAGGGTCGAATTTTATGTTTTGTGGGAAAGCACAGAAGCCTGTCAAAAGCAGGATGCAGGGCTGTTTCTGTTACCCATGAGTGTTCCTTCTGTTTTTGTCTCCTTTTAATGTGTGCCTATAACTGCCCTGATTGTGGCCCCAAACCTACTCTGATTTAAATTGGATGCCTCTACTAACATGTTTTGCTCCCAAATAGCAACACTTTTATGTGATTTGTCCTGTTCAGTGCCAGCCCCTCCACTTCCCGGGACAGCTGCTGTTCCTTCTTCTAATCCGCAATATTTCTAATGACCTATTAGCTCCAGACAGGTTTGAGTCTTGCTGCTTTTAATAGCACTATGGCTCTGTGCTAACTATGACATGAGTGAAGAAGCTGAAGCTTAAAGATATTAAATTGCCTGAGGTCACATGACTAAGAAAAGTTCTATCTGGGTACAGGACACGTGACCGACTGATGTTCGAAACTTCACATTTCACTACTATTTCTTACTATGGATTATTATAATACATTCATGGTCTGTCAAACTCTTGCTTATTTTGTGACTAACAGCAAATATTTACAAAATAATAAATGTATGGAGCTGTGGAGTGGTTCAGTGTGCAAGAGAACTTGCTACACAAACATGAGGATCTGAGTCCAACCTCCCTCAACCCATATAAAAAGCTGGGCATTATCCCACTCGATTGTAACCCCAGCGCTCTGGGAGGGTGGAGCCAGGAGGATCCCTGGAGGGTTGTTTGCTGCCAGAAGCCTAGCTTCAGGTTCAGTGAGAGAGCCTGCCTCCAAGGAATGAGATGGAGAGTATGAAGGAATTATGGCAGAGGCGACATAGCAGGATACCTGATGTCTACACGCGAGAACAGGCCACACACACACAGTCACACACGCACACACCACTAATAATGCACATGTGTGTATGCTCTGCACGTAAACTAAGTTCTTCTTATGAAGTCCTTCCTACACACTCTAAGGTGACGTCCAGCCGTTTCTTCACCCCGTTCCACTTAGACCTGCTGCAGTTTCTTATTGAGGCTTGTCTTAAGGTGGTCTACCAATGCCTGGAGTCACAGATAATGCGGAACCTTGTACATATTTTCAAACATGCATATATTCCCATATAAAATGTAGCTCTTATATTAGGCACAAGAGATGCACAGTAGTAACTCCTACAAGAGTAGAATTATGACGATATCTAGTGAGGGTAGAGCTGGGTGTAGAAAGGAGCTGCGGGCAGGCCTGTTTTCGCCTCACCCGGCTCCTTCACGGCTAGCTTAGTCCCAGAAATAATAACAGCTCGCCTGCTACTCACAGGGCCCTGAATTCACCCTCCAAAGAGCAGAAGGATTCTCTAGTAAAAGTTAATAAAAATCACATTTTTTTTTATTCCTTGAAATTTCCACGTAATATTTTCTGACTGCATTTGAGCATACGTGAGTTGAGCCACACAAAGTCAAACCATGGATGCAGGAGGAGCTGCCCTGGATACCACTTCACATAACTAATCATGAATTCCAAGTAAAAAGCCACAGGATGAACTGGTGTCAGGAGCAGTCACTGAGAGCTCTGTATATGATGCGTGCACTCTTTCTTGTGTATCAAAATCCCTTTCCCTCGGCAGAGACTGGAGATTCCTTCATGTAGGAGTTATCTTACTGCTACGTCTTTTTCTTTTTTCCCTCTCTTTTCTTCCTTACTAATTAATTAATTAATTAAATTAATCCAAGCTTCAGTTAAATCTTATGAAACAGCCCCAGGGGCTGGAGAGATGGCTTAGTTGTTAAGAATGCTTGCCGCTCCTACAGGGTACCTGTGTTCAGTCAGTTCCCATCACTCACAACAGGTGGCTCCCAACTGCTGAACTCCAGCTCCAGAAGATTTAATGCTCTCTATGGCCTGTGTGGGTGCCTGTACATACATGGCACACATGTGCAAAGACACACACACACACACACAGACATAAATAAAAATAAAATCTTACAAAAAATTGCCCTGTAAGTTGCCCAGCGATATTTGAGTACAAATCTTACTGTCCTTCTGTTTGCTCTTTGCATGCTGAAACATGAACTAGACTCCTCACCCCACCCTTTCACTTGTGATTTTGTTTACAGACATTTACACTCCTTAGGTGTGCAAAATCTCACGCTCTCTCAGTGTGCCCACTTCATGATTATCTCTACCACACGTTTGTTCTCACAACATAAACACATTGTCTCTGATTGCTTAGGGTGGGCAGTCCTCGAGTACATTACCCAGGAGGCCACACCACCGGAAAAGATGGAGTGTCTAATAACTAAGACACATAAAAATTGGAAAATCTTTATTTTCTTATATCTTTTAGATTGAGGATAATTGTTTACTTGCTTAATTGGTTCTGCATGAGCGCCTCTCGCTGTCTGTCGCTGGCATGCTGTCACTTGGAGATTTTCAGTGTGGGGTGGGGAATAGAGAGCAAACAATTAAATATGAAAGGTGAAAAATTATAACCACGAGAGACAGCTGGAGCTTATATGATGTGACAATTTGCTTTCCCTGGTACAAATTTGCCCCATCCCTGTAGGGAATGAAGTAAATCAGAGACTGTGACAGCGATGTTCTGTTTCTAGAGTTTTGATTCTGAAGCTGTAATTATTTTGGGCGTCATATGAGTGAACACTGTGCATGGTTCCTGTTCTGGCTAAGCTATAAAGCCATCTTTAAATCTTTCCTCCGTGTCCATTTGAGGTTCTCAACATGCTATTCACATACTATCTCTCAGGTCCTCTGGATGTGATTAATTGAATTTTTCCACTTCACTATTCATTAGAGTGATACCCAAATATTTTGAACAATCTTCATATGAAATATGACCTCACTAGGTCTGCAGATTAACTTCCATTATTGTAATCCTGTTTTCTTCATTTTTAATTTACTTCCAATTTATCCTTCATATAAAGTCCCCCTCTCTCCGCTTTGGCCACTGTGGGTAAGGCTTTCCATTTGTAAATGAGCCCTTAGTAGCTTCCAGCCTTGTCATTTAGGTTTTCATTTCTTTCTGTGCTGTTGTGTGCAGCTGATTACAGTCTTTGATCATTTGCTGTTAGTCCCCCCTGTTCCATAATTGTGTGAAAAAGCAACAAAGAAAGACCCAGAAAAGAGAGGACAATGGAGCCAGAGTTCTCATTAGAGTGAAATGACTGAAGCTCCCAGAGTTCCGTGCTCATTGTCACTGTGCCGAGTTTCTTCTTTCAGACTACGAAGAAGATTTCGAAGTGGATGAGGAAAAGCGAGATGAGAGAGCTGAGGATGAGGGTCAGGCTGAAGATCAGACAAGCGTAACATCCAAGTCGCCCGCGGAAGGAGAAAAAGATAATTTCAGCCTCGAAAAGGAGATTGAAGTCTCTTCAGAGAAGGCACCCGATGCTCGTGCCAGTGAGAACGGCAAGGATGACGGGTGCTCGGACAGCGAAGAGGAGGATAAACAAGGCAGGTTACAATGTGTCAGGGTGCTTTGGACTTTGCTTTCTGTAAGGTTAATAAGACAGAGATGCAGAGTTACCTAACCCAAGAATCCCCCAAGAATCCCAGCCAGCCACGCCTCAGCGAGCTTCCGAATTGAAGATCTCTTCCTTAGTCTGTTCGCTTTCCTTAGTTTGGGAGATTTTAGCAAGACATTAGATTGGGCTTGCAGTAACCTGTGCTCTGTCTAGTTAGAAA